ATATGGAATTGGTGGCAGTAGTGTTTGCTTTGAAGATATGGATGCATTATTTGTATGGAACGAAATGTCAAATCTTCACAGATCATAAGAGCTTGCAACATCTGTTCCATCAGAAGGATCTGAATATGCGTCAGAGAAGATAATTGGAATTGGTAAGTGATTATGATTGTGAAATTTTRTATCATCCAGGAAAGACAAACGTAGTAGCCGATGCATTAAGTCGACAAGAGAAAAGTGGAACCATCAAAGCTATGGCTTTACGAGTTGAATTGCTACCTAGTATTCAGGAAGAATTGCGAGAATTTCAACATGAGGCAATGAAGGAAGATAAAACTGAACAAGAAAGAATAGGTGGATTGATATTTGAATTTGTGAAAGATTATAGAGAGTTTTGGAAGTTCCAGAACAGAATTTGGGTATCATGCTATGGTGATCTCAGAAAACGTATTTTGGGTGAGGCTCATAAGTCACGTTTTGCAATTCATCCAGGTACAAATAAAATGTATCGGGATTTGAAGCAACATTATTGATGGCCAGGTATGAAGAAAGATATTGCTAAACATGTTGAGCAATGCCTGACATGTCTCCAAGTAAAGATTGAACACCAGCGTCCTTATGGTAAGTTACAATCTTTAGAAATTCTGGTGTGGAAGTTGGAACATATCACTATGGATTTCATAACCAAATTACCAAGAACATCAAAAGGGTATGATGCTATATGAGTGATAATAGATTGGTTATCTAAATCTGCACACTTCTTACCTATAAAAGAGTCATATTCGATGGAGAGATTGCCAAAAAATTATACATTGATGAGGTAGTGACACGACATGGTGTTCCTCTATCAATTGTTTATGATAGAGATAGTCGGTTCACTTCTATGTTTTGGAAGAGCTTCCAAAGAGAAATGGGTTCGCAAATTAAGCTAAGTACAGCTTATCACCCTCAGACTGATGGATAAAGTGAACGGACTATCCAAACTTTAGAAGATATGCTTAGAGCATATGTAATTGATTTTGGAGGATCATGGGATAGTCATTTGGCTCTGGTGGAATTTGCATACAACAATAGCTACCATTCAAGTATTCAGGCAACACCTTTCGAAGTTCTGTATGGGCGAAAATGTCGAACTCCATTGTGTTTGAATGAAATAGGTGAAAAACAATTAGTTGGGCCTGAGTTAGTTCAGCAAACTGCAGATAAAGTTGGAATAATACGGGAACGAATGAAAGCGGCACAAGATAGACAAAGAAGTTATGCAGATAAACGTCGAAAGCCGATTGAATTTCAAGTGGGTGATAGAGGAATGTTGAAAGTATCACCTTGGAAAGGAATGGTACGTTTTGGAAAAAGAGGGAAGTTAAGTTCAAGATATATTGGACCATTCCCTATTGTTGGAAGAGTTGGGGAAGTAGCCTATAAGTTAGGACTTCCATTAGAGTTAAGTGGAATCCATGACACATTTCATGTGTCAGATTTAAGAAAGTGTCTAATAAACCCAGATATGGCAGTGCAATTACCTGAAATTAAGGTAGATGAAAAGTTATGTTTTAAAGAAACCCCTGAACAGATTTCTGACTACAAAATAAAGAAGTTGCGAAATAAAGAGATTGGGTTAGTGAAAGTTCAGTGGCGTTATCATAAAGGACCAGATGCCACCTGGGAATTAGAATCGGAGATGCGGATGAAGTATCCTTATCTGTTTACTTAATGGGAATTCTGGGACGGAATTCTTTTAAGGAGGGAATATTGTAACATTCGTGTTTCGAGTTTTGAAATAAGATTTTTGAATATATATATATATATATTATATATGCACGTGTATTAATATGTATATATATATAATATTTATTATATGTGATGGATGTATGAGTGAGGGTGATAAAGGTAAGATGGCCGACTTTTGAAGGACGGTCATACACTTGCTATATATAGCAAGTGTATATAAAAAGAAAAGGATTTTCTGGTTTTGGAGAAATATATCTGCATATTGAGAGAAAAGACTGAAGGAGAATCACAGACTTGAATCCAATCAACAATATAAGGTGAGTGTATAATGCTTTAAAGTATTGGTTATTACATCTTTTAGTGCTAGAATCTGCTATTTATGAACTGCATTTCATAAATATTTAGTTAAGTCCTTAAACCGGACAAAGAGTGTCTGGAGTTCTCCTTAAACCGGTCAAGAGGTGACTGGATCTCATCTAAATCGGTCAAAGGTTGGGCGATGTATTGTCCGGATTGTTTTAAATCGGTTAAGTTGTGAGTGGAGTATTGTCCGGACTTGTTATCCGGACAAAGATATTGACTTAATTCTAAGTGTTAACCGGACAAAGCTTATACAAGGTGTTGTCCGGATTGTTGACCGGAGATGATATAACCCTCTTGATATTCCAAGTGTTTGTCCCGATTTCATATCCGGACAAGGTTGACCAGACTTCAAATCCGGCTAATGTGTTACACTTTTGAGATGTAATGGCGGTGTAATCGCGAGAGAGATGTAATGGCGGTGTAACCGCGAGAGAGATGTAATGGCGGTGTAACCGCGAGAGAGATGTAATAGCGGTGTAACCACGAGAGAGATGTAATGGCGATGTAACCGCGAGAGAGATGAAATAGCGGTGTAACCGCGAGAGAAATGTAATGGCGGTGTAACCGCGAGAAAGATAAATAAGTATATGTATCTGAACAGGTTTGATTCTGAACTGATTGTTTAGAAAGTGTGTTATTTGTTTGAGATCTATACACTCACTAGACCTTTTTGGGTCTAACGCTCAGTTGTTGGACTAACCGATTTTGTAGGTTATCATACATCGCAGAATAAAGGAAAAGGAAAAGTTTAATGTTGGTGACATTTGTTTACTCATAAATGTAGTAAAGAAAGTTTTTGTTAGTCCGTGTTTTGTAACAATACTATTTTTAGTATTATGAGTATATGTATGTGGATTATCTGTATATGGAAACTGGGAGTTGTTACATGTTTAACTTTGGTGAAAAAAGCATTCATGAGTGAAGATAAGTGGTAACAAATAAAATACAAACATTGTTAGCATATACTCAAACACTATAATTAAACACTCTTATTTGAGATATAGATATCGATAGATATAGAAACAGTCACATCTATGCTGTTATGCACACACACATAAACAAAAACAAAAACAAAACACATTGGCCCTGTTACATGTGTCTGTGTGTGTATATATATATATATATATTCATATTGATGTGTGTGTGCATATGTATTTGTACATACAAGGTTTTGATGTTTGAAGTGGCTGCATAGCTCCATCAATTTAATTGGACAGCAGCAGTAGGGGAGTTTCTGTTTTATGTGTGTGTGTATAAGATGAAATGGAAACAACATATTCTATTTCTAACAATATGAAGAAACTTGGTTAAATGTCTATATGGCAAAGAGTTGATTAAACTTTGACATGTAGACAACGGCTGGTGGTGAAGAGTTGCCAAAGAAGCTGCAACTCTATTCATTTTTCATGAGCAGTTCCTCTTTTCGTGTTCGTATTGCTCTCAACTTAAAAGGTTTTGTTATTTGATTCATTATTTCTCCTGAGATTGCGTACTGTGTTGGTTTGTATACGCTCCTAATAAGCATTTCAATTATAGATATTTAATTTGAGTCTGTTGTTTGTCGTTTGCCAACAGGACTTGATTATGAATACAAAGCCATCAATCGTTCAAACTTCAAACGAGAGTAACACAGTCCTGGTAACAAACTAAAATTGTTCAAAAATCTCATCAGGTTCTTTTTTTCACTCCCAGGGTTTAGTTGTTGTATTGTTTTGATATGATTTTATGTTATCTATGATCTTAATCTTTCACTTGAGTTGCTGAAGAAATTGTTTTGCTAGAGTTTCTAGTGTTCAGTAAGTACTTCATGAAAGATAACAAAAAATATGTGCTTGCAGTGTAAAATATTTACCCAGGCTCCATAGATGCTCTAAATGAATATTGGCAAAAATAGCATGGAAACACTTCACCAGTAAGCTATACTACATTAATAAGCATTTAGACCTATATTCTAATTATAAATCATAAAGCACAAAGTACTACCATTTTATGCTTAGAATCTGGGATTTGCAGGGTATAGATATCGATGAAAGAACTTGGATAATGTGAATACCTATTTCCTGGCTATTGAGTTTTCATTTGATGGGTTATGTTGATATAAATAGGTTATACCAATCCGTTCTTTGATAATGGTTTGTTTTGTCTAAAGCTTCATGTTAAGTTTTGTGTTTTTTGTTTGGGTTTGTTGGCCCCATGCTGATATAAACAGGTTATACCAATCCATTTGTTTGGGTTTGTTTCAACAACATCATGCTCCAGGCTGTTGGGATCCTATGTAAAGTGCCAAACTTTCATATATATTAGCTTTTGGAAATTAAACTATATATAAAAGCAAAACTCAATTTTTGGACTAAACCATGGTTGATCTTTAAAGACATTATTTGCTCAAGTAGTCACAATGACAAGTTCTTTTAGTTGAAGCTGTTATRTATTATGTTACAGTTGACCTCCAAATGATCACCATCACCATCACCTCCAAATGAAACAGAAGCATGTGATCTCTAATATGCATTCTGCCCTAGAATATGATCTAATATGACATTCGACATTTAGTTGGTCAAGTTCTATAACTCAAGTAGTTATGTTAGGACAGTTGAGAACGAACTCATTGCAGGTGGGTATTTCAAACCATCATCTCTACCTGTGTGTTTAGATGGAGATATGAAGGCCAAAAATTAAAACATTTTTAATGAAAGTTTAGATTGGAAAATGCAGAAAAAACCACAAGTTAACTCAATACAAAACACTGGTAAAGTGAGCAAATTAAGCAATGACCATCTTGTTGAACCGTTTGTTATTGCTTAGTTTTCATTTTGAGAAAACTTGTAACAAAACTACCAAAACAATTATATGTCTAAATGTAAAAGTTGACCGAAAGCATTGTCATTGTAGAACATTGGTTAAGACTTAAGGGATATAGTGCAAATCTCATCTTCCTTAGGTTTAAAGACATAGTCTAAGTCTGGTTGGTCTGACTGAAGAGGCCAGGGGCAAGGGTTTTCTCTTTTTTGACCCTCTGATATATGGTGATGCATCTACCACTCAATCTTGTTTATCTTTATATCCAAATTGATGAAATATTATAGCTAATTAACCAACTATGAGACTTAAGACTGAACCATTTGAGTCAGGTTGGTTCTAAGAATATAAATTCTTAAATAATCAAGAGGCATCTGATGGAAAGCAAATATGAATCAAAAGGTCAAAAGTACCGGGAGGTCTTAGGTTCAAATCCAAGGAGGAATAAAATCCTCTTGTGGCCACAGAGGTTCAAATGCGGTGACTCTGGGCTATCCACTTTGCTGCCAACTATTCAATTTCATATGACAAAAACTATTTTGCATGTGTACTTTTTACAGGGCAGCTGGGAAAGAAGTTGAGCCTATTTTATCTAACAGTTAGAATTGTGGCATTTGATTTATTTTCTTTACACTTACATACTAATTTCTTTAAACTTTTGTTACAGTTGAACAACAAGACTATACAACTCACAAGGTTTTTATATATTTCTTTTCCTTAACTTCATGCCACTAAAAGAAATTATCTTATAGCTGTTGCACTAAACTCTGCCTACAAAGTGATCCATTGACTTAATGCATGCTAATGTGTTATTCTTTCTTTAAACATTTACGTTCTGCAGTCCAAATTAGAAGTAGATCTAGCCAGAAGAACAGAACACTACTTTTCTGAGAACATGCAGGTTATTATAGGTTTTACGTTCCCCCATACTAATCACGATCACACAGCTGCAGATGCACACACTATCTTACATACTGTAACCATCACAACTGGATTGTTGATCATCCATCAAAGTAGTAAAACAGTCAAATTCTTACATACTATAACCATGTTATTGAAATGTTCTAATGGCTTATTGACTTGTTGTAGATAAAGAGGGAAATTGTCACAGTTAGCGGTTCACATGAAATTATTGCATTATCGCTAACACCTTTGCAGACACCTTGCAATCAGACGAGGCTTCGTCATCTGTGCAAAGTAACAAACGTGGTTCTACTCAGGCAGACTATAAAAAAGTTAGAAAAGAGATGGCAGGTGATATGTAGAGTATCAAGTTTTGCGAGAAGTTTAGGGCGGATGTTAGAAAATGGATTTATTGATTGATTGAATGTTGGGGATTGTTTTGAGAACTTGTTTTTTTATATTATAAATTTATATCAATTTATTGCTTTGAGATTTTTTTGTTGTTTTTGTTGATTAATATAATATATAATTATATACAAATATAGATCTTAAATATGGATGAAAAATAATAATAATATGTTCTTTAGAGAAGGAATTGATCTTTTAAAAATGTATCTAAAGATAAGATTTAGAGAAGGTTTTGATTATTTGTATCTAAATATAATCTTTTGAGAAGGTTTGTAGAGTGTAACTAAAGGACATCTTTAGAGAAGGTTTAGGTAAAATGTCACTAAAGCCAATATCTTTACAGCTTTTTTGTAAACCTTCTCTGAAAGCACCTTTTAGAGACGTTTGTGAACCGTCATCAATACTCAAAAACACTACAAAAATGCTGGGTATCAGCGAGGGAAAATTCCCTCGCTGATCCGTCGCTGAAAGTGGTTTCCGTCGTTGATCCGT